AGTCAACTCGATTCAACCAAGCGTAAATCAAAATTTATTGTCGAACAAAAATAAGCTGTAGACATGTGATGAGTAAGATAAGAGATGCACACACATACGTTCATATAAAAAATCAAGGGTGATAAGTGAATAATTGACAAGGTCAAAATGTAGCTTGAGAAAAATGGATAAATTGGTTTGTCCAGAAGCTAGAATAAATTATTTGGGCTCGACATAGGGTCAGCCCTTACAAGAGATTATGAAAAATTGCTTTGTTAGTTATTGATGATGTAATAAAAGTCGTTAAAGAATTTGAGAAATAATCATAATTTATTTAGGAAAATTTTGTACTATATTATATAAATATTGTTGATGGATTGATAGTTCTTTTACCAAACGCTAGACTTAGTGATGTATGTATATTAGTAAGCTGTTTGCTAATGAATTTTCGGCATCCAGCAAACTTTCATCTATTTTCGAAATCAAAAGTAATATTTCTTATGAATCTTTTAATTATGTGATTCCTATTGTATTTAGTGAATTATATAATAAGTCTATCCACTTTGTCATTAAGATTTTAGATATAATATGTGTTAGATAGCTGGTTATTCTTGAACTGAAACAAATGCACATTTTTTACATCAAGATTAATAATTAACTGGTGGTTCACTCTTCGTTCGTTCTTTCGTCATTCATTATGGAGTCAAATCGCGGGCACAATATATGTACTGACAAAATGTAATAACGACATAAAGCCTGAAATTAGCGTATTGATATCATAGGGTATTGATGTGTTGAGTTTAAAAATTCACATCACGAACTCACTTTTGTTAGGTAAATATTGAGAACCTCTAAACAGTTGCTATCATCTAGTTACAATGATGTCAGATGTAGGTATAACATTCCTTTTCAATTGTCAATAGAGCATATTTGTTGTTAGTTGAAACACAAACGTTTAACTGAATTAAATGCTCTTATTGGATCCTGGTGAAATAATGGAAATGAACGTTTTGCTGAGTATCTCATGATTATATTTTAAAGTTACTTTATCGATCATGGATTTCTCAATTAACTGATCTCTTTATTAAATAAGAGAAGCTAATAAAGAAAATTCTAAATTTATCTATGTTTACACCTTGACTTATCTAACTTAATTAAAAACTTATTTTTCCTCCATGCATAAGAATTTATGCGTCTCATCATTTATCATAATTTTTTGACTGCTTTCTGCATGATTTGGATGACTTAATAATATTGTTGTGAACGAGAACGCAACTGGGAACAATCAAATGTATTTGATCACGAAATCGCACAACGTCTTAGTAAAATCTGAGAACCATACAGTAAATACTTTATTTGCAAAATGTTCATCAATTGTCTGAAAAGTGACTGTTCCTTTTGGAAATCGCAATCAATCCTCTCAGACTTCACTGTTCCTTCATTTCTTCAACAATTATACTCTGTTCTCATTTTCTTTTTTTCGATCTTCTTAACCTTCTGCTGCCAGGTATTTCACTTGCGATTGATGATACGTACTACTTATATCTGTTGACATCAGTAGCACACAGCACAATTAGTTTTCCTGTTGTGGTTATTTATTCGTTAGAGTACAGTAAGTTCATTTTGTTCAATGACGTTTAGATTATTGTGTACATTTTTATTTTTGGAACTAGTTATTAATATGTATCTGACTGGTAAATTAAGAATAATTCATCAAAATCATTAAACGTTATTTTGATTGTCTTAAATTGTTGTTTTTCAAACGAGTCCAGTATGCATGAACTTTTTCTAACATGTTTTGAGGAAGTCAATGAATCGTTTAGAAATACTGCGCTTTACATTCTACAAACACATAACATAAGGTAAGGCTAGACTTATGGCATTCCATATTGATGAGCCTACCAAGATATAAAAGTCATAAGAGCGAAAAATGAATCTATCTCTAGCCAAATTTAAGGCACTATGAGCAGTGAAACAGTTCTTACCCATCAGAAGGAGCTGAATATCAGATCCAATCTATCGCGCCAACAATATCAGTTTTGTCTATGTGATTGCATTTAGAATTTTTACTCAAGCTGGATTCAAAACAAAAAGGGTTTGCAAACTCTTAATTGTGGACTTATTCTATCGAAAACTGGGTGCCATGTACTGGTTATCGGCTGTATTTAGTGAAGTGTAATGTACCTAAGATTACTTAACGAAGAAGTCGTATATAAATAAACTGGATTCATCTAATTAAATTTTTTAATGAATAAACGCAAGTACACAATATTGTATGAGTGAATAAAATACACTTTTTTTATAACCAGTAATGATCTTATGAAGACTGAAATTTATCTACTGAATTGGTTTCATTTAAGCTACGGAAAGTTAGACTGATTCTCAATCACTTTGTTATAAGTGGCAAATAATGTTCTAAATAGATAGATACATCCCTATTTATTGAGTTGCATTATATATATATATATATATATATATATATATATATATATATATCTTTCAGGAGGTAGTTTCAAGAATACACACTACTTTGAGTAGGAGCTTGAATGTTACATTTGATGAAGTTTACTGATTTTATAAATGTATCCAGTCTGCGGTTACCAAATAAAATAATAATAATAATGATTTTATTATTATTAACAATGATAATAATAATGAACTTGTGGTTACGTATAGCTTGTAAATTTTACTAAAAAGCCCTAAAAATCTTTTCACTTAATCACGATATGATATCACTTCAAGGGCAACTGGAAACCAAGAAAGTTACGGCGAGTGCTTGATAATTGATCAAAGATCTGAAGTTTGAGACTCTATTCCTACATAAGATTATGGATATATATTCATGGAGTGTCCTAAACTAATGGATAGTGTTTAGGGGTAAATTGCTCATCAAAACGACGGGTTAAATATTTCGACTTTTTGTAATACTTTAGTATCATTTAGCTGTTACTGACATCGATTTTGTGACTTGTCATATTAATATATTTTCCTTGTAAATGAAGTTGACATTCTTTACTAGAATGAAAATTAATGATCGTATTAAAAAGCTTCAGTCAGTCATATTATCTTGAATGATTACCTAACTAGTCAGTTGATTTCTAGATATCACTATTAGGAATTCTTAAACATAATAAGAAATATTTCCCTGTCTAAAATTTACTTTTAATGAAGTTCGTGATGCAGTGAATTGGCCAATTTTATCGAAACCAATACAAGAAACCTGTTCAAAAATATCTAAACGGTCACTTAGTTTTATAAATTCATGATGGATTTCACTGGGTTTGCTAAATCAAACAATGAACATGGTGATTTTATTAATGATCAGATACATTTATAAATATGTTGGGCTACTATAGGTAAGATTATTACTTGTTGAACTTGGATTGTTAAAGGAAGTTACCATGAACTAACGAGCAAATATGAACGTAATATTAGATGATCAAGTAAGGTCACTGAATCAGAAATAGTAGCTGTAAACCTTGAAGTTCCTTAGTCTATTTCTGACATCATAAAGAGGGTTGGATTTCTGTCAACTTAATAGCAAAATGATGATTAGCCCCATGACTTTTATATATAGTCCATTCTAATATATATTCTACACTATGTTCTCTAGATATTTCTTTTACATTCCGGAATATCTACATCAGTCGTTTAGATGATGAGGAAACGAACGACCAGCTTCCTTTCTTAGTTGTATTTTTAAATAAACGAGAAAATGGTTTGATGAAACGATTCATTTTCAGAAAACCAAATAGGACAGGCAAGTGCCGTAATGGTTATAGTTACTGCTCAGTGCAATAAGAACGGGGATAATTAAGAGGCCTTTCCAACAGAATTAATCGACGCGTTTGATGACGATGTTAGGTTGTTAAACAATGGAAAATAGCCATCCTCTAAAATTCATAAATAGATGGAAAGGTCATGGTATAGTGAGACCTACAATAGCCTTGGCACAAAAATGTCCATTTACATCATCCGAATGGCCTTTTATAGAACACTCATGTACACAATGTACAAACAAACAATGTCTTTTCATTCAATTATTATCAATCATTTGAATTTGGCATAGAATTATCTATTTTCTAATCTATCACTATTTAAATGTGTGCTAAATTATTTCCCTAATACCTAAAGTATAATTAACATCCATCGTGGTCTAGCTTCAACTGACTCATAATCTTAATCATTGAAATTACTATAATATGCACAAAACCCATCTGATATTAATCAACATGTGCTCACTAGTGACTGGCTTCAAGATATATATTCTGAAGTTCGAGTGAGAAGCAGTGACCAGTGGAGTTCAACCAGGTCTGTTGTGAGGTAGTAACTCACTGAAGACAATGGTGAATGTGTCACTCAGTTTCGTGGATTAGTTGAAGTTAGACATTAACACCGTTGTATGCCGGCTCAGTGGTCTAAGGGTTAAGTGCTCGCGCCCGAAACCAGTAGGTCCTGGGTTCGAATCTCGCAGGGGGCGAGGTCGTGGATACTCACTGCTAAGGAGTTCCACGATAAGACAAAACGGCCATCCAGTGCTTCCAGGTTTTCCATGGTGGTCTAGCTTCAACTGATTCATGATCTTAACCATTGAAAGTAATTTGATTCTGTTACTAACTAATTGACAACTCGTCAATCAATCGACTTTTTTTTTCAATAAAATTAAGAGAACACAACAAATGACAAAAAGAAAGAGGGGATAAATAAAAAACGAAAGGTAAGAATATACATTCAAGCCTATGAACAACTTATCTAGCTACTTAATCAACGAATGAATTAATGAATCATTTAATTACTTACTTATTATTATTGTTGTTAATAGGGAAGTAATTAAGAAATCATTTCATATAAACACATTACATTCTATTTATTTATTTATTTATTTGAAATAAAAAAAGAAAGAGAAAAGAAAAGAAAAGAAAATCTAGTTATCAACAGATGATCTATGTTGTTTTAATTTGTAAATAATTTAAATCTGTTGATTTCTGAAAAGAAAATAATCATCATCATAATGGCAATTACTTTAATTATATTAAAAACTTAACAACCAAAATAATACTCCATTATTGTTATTAGAAGTTTTATATTTTATCTCATTTTCATAAACATGTTTTTATAATATGATTATTGATGTCATGACACTTAATCAGTATCACTTTAATTGACCTATATTATTGATTATTGATTAATTATACAGAAAAAAGAACAAAAAACACAACAAAATGATCCGTTTATTTAAGTGTTGATTTGATTGATCTAATCGATATCATTAATCTGTTGATGAAATTGATTACAAAAAGAAAAAAGGCACTTGATAAGTATCATCATTCTAATGAGAATTAACAAATGAATGATAGAGATAATCATGTTTGTTTTGTGTGTGTGTGTTGTTTGTTTTGTTTTGTTTTGTTTTTAAGAATTACGATCCTTCTGTCAAATAAACTGTATACAAAATGACTATACATTTAAATGACAATTTATTTGATCATTGCACAATGAATAATATTGAAATATTATGTAATCAATTCAAGTGAAAACGATAGAATTCTTTTATTTCATAAAAGTAATCAAAGACTTCATGCACAATTCACCATGGTTTTTGTTTTGTTTTGTTTGGTTTTTCTTTCTATTTAATAGTATAATGTTCAAAATTATGAAGAAATCAAATTAACAAATATGGCATCCTATTGTAAGTTGTGTTGTTTGTTGTATAATATATGTACTTGTCTAATAACACTATCATGAAACTACTGTGCAAGATTGTTGCTATGTATATATTGTTTTAAAATTAAAAAAATTTGAATGGAATCAATTACGTTTCTTTCAAATATTATAATATATACTATGTTAATGAGACATTCAGTACTATTGAATAATCTCTTCATCTATGAATGTCTATGCGCAATATATATATGCGTATGTTACTGTAAATAAAAGATGATAGTATCAGATTTTCATTGTATGTTAATAATTGACAAAGGCAATCATACCGGCCAATAATTCCGCGGAAATCCTTTTTCATATCAATATGTATATATATGTATATATTTAGATATAATTAGATACAATATTTGCATTCATATGGATCGTTTTTGTAATGCGAAATAAAATAAAATAAATTTGGAATTAAGTACTTTTACTACTACTACTACTACTATTAATATTATTACTATTATTATTAGTATTATTATTAACAATAATTGTTGCCATAAAGTAACATTAAACAATAAAGAGAGTATACAATGACAAAACCAGGAAATAGTGATTATTCTTTTGATATGTTTTATCAATTACCATTGAAATGGTTTGTTTCAATTAGCGAAGTTAAGATAAATGTGTATCATCGACGGTTAGCAATACTTTTGTATATTAATGAGTACCTTTTTGAGACATAATATTTATGACTATTATTATTATTATTATTATTATTATTATACCTGTTATGAATCGCCATAAAACAATGAAACAGTAATAAACTTCAATGACTTTTATGTAGTTTATACTGTAGAATATACATTAAAATAATAGTTATATGCAGTCAGCATTCGTGTTAATTAAACACCGGAAGAAACAGATTTTAATTACATTCCAAATGTAATGGAAAACAGATAAAATCTATTCAATATATCAATTCATTGTTATTTTCAAATCATCACTAATTTCATATGAGGATGCAATACAATTCCCATGACATGACATGCATATTTAATAAATAATCAATATTAAACTTTGAGAATTATTAAGAAAACAAAAATAAAACTAAACTAAATTTTCAATTAAAATTTAGTAAGGTATTATTCTTGATCTCCTGGTCAACCGATGACTAGATTTAAATTTTAAACTCAATTGATTATCATCTTCATAGATTGGTTGAAAACAATCCATTGTTTGTTTATGTAAATCAGGTGATAGATTTTCTTTTAGTAACAATAATGAAGATGAATTCATATGTGAAGTGTTTGTAGTATTCATTGGAATATTTGATTGAAATAAACTATAATCAATATGTTCACAATTGTTCTTCAATGGTGACAAATATATTTTATTATGGTTTTCAGAATGTTTATTTAATGAATTGATTATGAAACTATTTTTAGTCATTAAAGCAGTTGCAGCTGATGCTAATCGAACATTAAATGCCCACATTTCTCGATGTATTGCAATACTGATTGTCAATGTTTTTTTTTAAAAATATTTGTATTATTTCACAATTATAAGTTGAGGTTAACAAGTGTTGAAGAACATTTTTTATGTAATTAATATTGTCGATGGTATTTTTTTCAATATGACGTCATGTAGCATTAATGTGTATATGTGTAGTTGAGTGTATATGTTTGTATGGATGTGAGCGAGCGAGAGAGAGATAGAGATAGAGGGAGAGAGTCAATAAGCAAATTTGAAAGACCAACATGCATGACATTTGGAAAATAGAAATTATCAGTATTATGATCAGTAGTAGTAGTAGAATGAATAAAAGTGAAATGTCAGTGTGGTGGAAAAAAAGAAAAAAATACTGCAAATAATTACGTGCATAAATAATGATGAATTCATCATGCAATTCAATGTAGTACAACTAAACATGCATTAAAATTCAAGAAACATCTAAATCTAGATAGACTACATAATTAATTATACTTTCAATTTCATTTTTACCCAACAACGAAAAAAGTAACATTCAATTCAGTTACATCATAGATGTCAGAATACAGTCGTTGAGAGTAATGTATTAATTAGTCGTCTAACAAATAAAATCTGCGTACATTAATCAAACATTTTTTCTTTTTTTTCTCTTTAAAAAAACGTCTCTGATAATCATGTTGACTATTCATTAGGGAAAATATTTTTAGTCAAAACATTGAGTTGTGTCAATTTAGTGAAATGAAGTATTTATGAAGGGATACCCTAGCTTCAATTGACTCATGATCTCAACTGTTTAAACTACTACAATCTCCACAAAACCCCTTCTGATACTAATCAACATGTGCTCACTAGTGACTGGCTTCAAGATATATATCCTGGAGTTCGAGTGAGAAGTAGTGACCAGTGGAGTTCAACCAGGTCAGTTGTGAGGTAGTAAATCACTGATGACAATGGTGGATGTGTCGCTCAATTTCGTGGATTAGTTGAAGTTAGACATTAACACCGTTGGATGCCGGCTAAGTGGTCTGGTTAGTTAAGCGCCTGGCCCGAGACTGATAGGTCCTGGGTTCGAGTCCCGCGGGGCGGGGTCGTGGACTCTCAGTGATGTGGCGTCCCACAATAGGACGAAACGGTCGTCCAGTGCTTCCAGGTTTTCCATGGTGGTCTAGCTTTAATTGACTCATGATCTCAATTGTTTATAGGATACTCTAAGGTTTACGTAATCTAAATACCTATTGTATTATTTCAAGTATTAAATTCATTCTGTAAATTTGTTAGGTTTAATGGTATTTGAATGAAGCTTCGGGTAAAATATTTTCAATATTAGTATTGAATAAGATACATTTCTTTAGGAAGTCTATAGAATTTTATTTGGTTCAAGTTATTATCTAAAATAAAAGAGTTTATACTACTTATGGAACCTAATCTTATGTTTGCATTGATACAGTAACTGTTCCATGATATTGAATATTACAATTTGTCAATTCTTGCATATTACCTATTATTCTTTAATGTTCTCCATTATTCTTACTCGGAATTTTGTCAAAAGACTTTGCTGTATTGCGGAAAATGTTAAAGGCAGTTAGCGGAGTGTGTGGGGAATCTTTTGAGGTCATTATTATTATGGTTGTGCATAGACATCTAAAGTCTTGCAAACTCCTGATAGGTGTCATTTTGTCAGGTACTAATCATCCCCTTCATTCTTATCTTTCTCTTTGTATATCTTTTTGATAAAACGAGATCTCGTTACATTAAAATTCATGCACACAAGCAAAGGTATAAAAGTTCTACAATATCGTATCTAGCAAATATACTGTGATGAACAAGTTGTTAGAGTTGACCTAGTCAATAACTTGTATTCTTAAACATGTTTCTAATTGAAAAGTTGTACAAGTTCACCTTTTTCTTTCCTTTTCCTTGTTTTTGTAAAAGAAACTTGTTGAAATACCTCTTGCTGAGAATTCTATATTGTACCAATATTTAATATTGAATAAAACCACTAATAATAGTAATAATATTGGGAAATTTATGACAACTCACTTTAAAATTTTAAAAGCCTAGTCGATTTTCATATTCGATATGTTTACCAGCACCTATTTTACTGAATATATATAGGACTGTGGATATATTATACTGAGTAGCCCAGCAAATAACTATCGCATGCAGGCTTACACGTCAAGAAGGAACCGCCTTGTAGCTGGAAAGCTTAATGTAAATCTAAAGGTAAGCCATGTATCATAGTGTAATATATCACTTGATATAAAATTATTTGAACCTTTTTTATGTTCAAATATTCTATTTTCACTTTGAGTAAATAATATTTAGATTAAGAAACAGATAATAAATGAAGAATAAAAGAAGGAGAGAAGAATGAGAGATGTGATCACTAACCTGCTGTTTATAAGGAATTGAGCTAAATTTACTGAATCCAACTTTCCAGAAACTGTTATTTTTCTTTCTTTTGCACCATCTTCACAGTTGGATATTTTGATTTGTGCTTTAGATGCGTTTCTAATTTCATTGATTGTTGTACCACCACGTCCAATAATACAACCGATTACATCATTAGAAATAATCATCTCTCGGACAATAATACTCTCTTCTGTATTAGCCAAAGAAAATAATGAATTTTGTTGTTGAGGATTTAAAATTGTATTGATTGACAGGGATGGAAGACCAAGTAAAGATGCTGTATTCTGAAGACCACAAATTGATTTTATGGGATCTATTGGAGTTGAAAGTGATGTATAATTATTATTTGAGTCAATAGGTAATGAACCATTACAGATGGATAAATTATTTGGTGATGCATTGTTACTATTATTATTCATGCATATATCAGATTGATTAACAATTATATCACTAAGACTATTAGATGTTGATGTTGTAAATTGATCTTCAGGCAGTCTATTTGATATTTTAAGAAGAGCTGTAGGTGAAGAAAACATATAGTTATTAGGTGAACCAACAATTGGTAGAGCAGCAGCTGTTGGAGTTGGGTAACAACCAAGTATACCAGGAGTGAGAGCTATTTCTGGCATATTCAAAGGTTGTCCAATGGAATGCATCCCATTTGCAATTGGATTTGTATTTGGTAATGGAGCCAAAATCGATGAAAAATATGATTGAAAGTTAGCTAAATCTAATTGATTCAATGTAGCAAACAAATGAACTTGATCTATAAACAAAAAAGAAGAATAACATTTATTGTACGATGAAAAACATAATGTCGTATGAAACCCTTGTACAATTCCAAGTATTAGGTAAATTTAATTTAAAATATTACTAGACGTAAACCATAGTAACTAACTTTTTGGCATTGAATGCTGGGTCAACCATTATATGAAATATTTTTACGAGGAAATCTGACGTAAAAGATTATTCTATGCAATAGTATAAACAATGAACATTATTTATTATACTTTTGTTCCAGGGAACAATATGGTTTAAATTATCATTGATGAATAAATATCCCCCTTTTAGTTTTTTAGTGTTAATTAACTACTATTGAAAACAATAAATATTTGAAGTATAATAATTCTCAAAACTGTACTAGAATTATTGAAAAGAGTTCTGTTAGTAACATTATTCTTTCCAAAGAATACTTGAAATCATCTAAAAAAAAGAGACTACATTAAGCCAACTTAAACTAATTTGTCTCCATACGATGTTTATTGATGTATGGCAGTATAAACATTCTAATTTGAAGAAATTTACAATACTATCAATATGTTTGAATGAATGTTCTTATATTGACTTATATTTCTTGATTTAATTCAGAATGCTTTAAGGCAATAATAAGCATTTTATTTATATGTTACTTAATGTGAAAAATTTGGTATCTACCGTGATAGATATACATACAACTTTGTTATAACCTGACCGGAATAAATGAATGGTAACCGTTGGGAATTATTTATGGACTAATACGATACAATCATTATTAATATATAACTGTCAAGTAACTAAATTATATATATTTACATTTCTCTTATTACAAGCTCTTAATTTATCTATTGATTACTGTCATATGATTTACTATTCTCAAGTTTCTCATAATCACAACCTCTTTTTGTCTTGATCTTGTACAATTATTATTTCCTATTTTATGGTATGATGTGGTCTAATTTGTTCGTATATAAACCCAGTATGTTTGAAATATATGATTCGTATCACGGACGCTGAAATTAACGTTCTGGACTTAACAGGTAGGACTAAGCAGAAAAAGGACCAATTGGAACTCTTGGCTTCTGTTACTCGTGTATGCGTCGTACAAGTCAGCGTATCGTATTTCATAATGTCCTATAGCTAAAAACATAATAAACTTGTTATACACTTTATCATATTACTTAAAGTTTATCAATTTCAAAATTGGAAATAATTATTCAGGAGTTCTTGTTAAACATCTATATATATTTATACACCAGAATATTAAGTCACATGGATTACTGACAAGATGATTGACATGTTTAAAAGAATCTAAACAATCCCAAGTATTAAGCAACATAAAACTAATAATAACTTAGGAATTAATTATGATTTTTTTAATAGAAAAAATATAACTTCTATTTCTATTAGATCTCAATGAATTAACAACAGAATTCATAATAGACAACAGAAGAAAAAGTCGAAGAATTTCAATTATTCAAATATCTAGATAAATAAAATGTGTAAACAACAGGTGAATGGATAATCATATGAAGTGTCTACTTTACTTAGTTTGATTATTTAGTTTTATGTTAAAATTAAGATATAAAACAAAATTGTAGCAAAAATGAAGAGAAACAAAAGCAAGTAAGAAAGAAAAAAAACACAAATAAGGCACATTATTCATGTATTATACATCAGTGAACAGGAATATAAGCAGACAGATATGATTGTATAGAGATACTACTTTTAGAATTAGAATAGATCGAATATGTATTTTATGTGTATACATTTTTGATAGAATATAAATAAAATATTTTTTAATCAAAATACGTGGCAAATTAATCTTAAATATTTTCTTTATTCATTTTTTTTTTCAATTTTATACATGGTAACAATATAATTTAATGAATGAGCCAATCAGATTTAAGATACAGAATTTTGAATTTTCGCGTAAAATTTGTTTATTCATATGACTAGATAACATTTTTTAATTATAGTTGTTGTTGATTCGTAATGAAAATTGTTTTTTTACATTAATTTTTGATTTTTTTTAAAACTCTAGTAGGTGGGTAAATTTTCATAAGGGTACTTTGACGTCTCTGAACGATCGCATATAAGTTATAGTTTCACCTTAAACATGAATAGATATTATATAATTATAAAACGATTAGATTTTGCAATAGTTATAATAATGAAGTCAAAATCATGGTGAATAATAATGCGGAATATTTTCGAATTCTGGTTAAGTGTTTAAAAATTCTTGATGAATAGTATATTCTGAAACACTTTATAGTACATCATTATTATGCATCATTTTTGTTTAAGAACGACGTTCTCTAGATAACATCGTAACAAACACAAGCACAGAAAGGAAGAATCAGTAGCGGTATTTCATATTAATAGTGTTCTCATAACATTATTAACAAAGAGACTAGTTTAAGTGATATCCATTGTTTAGGATCTTTTTATATCTTTGAATACAATTTGTAAATTATTATAGATAATGTCATTCATTCAATTAGTGAAATAATCGACATTTATGAGTGCCATTCTGGATAGATAGTGGGTAGCAATGAAATCCAGAATGCATGTTTCTTCCTATTTACAACAGCTAATACAAAAATGAACTAAATATAGTTAGATATTTAGAAATAATTGATTTTGAAGAGTATTCACCAAATTCGGGGAGATCGTGATTAGAACTTACTTATAATGAGTCAATTTTATGTAACTTAATAGCATTAGAATTTCTTAAACCGACTGTAATGTTACAAGGATTGTCACTGACAATAAGGAATATTGGGTTTATAAAATTATTTATTTGTTTTATTATATTTAATGAAGTAATGAAGTAAACATAACTGTTTCATGAAGTGACGTACAAAAAAATATCAGCTAGAATGTTTCTCATAAATTTAATCATTGCAGTTATTTATTCGCTATTTAAATGATTGCCAGTTGAACACATTCAACAACTAATTCTATTATAATTTGAGAGGGGTTTGGTTATTGTAGTAACTTAATGGTTGAATTCATGAATCAATTGAAGCTAGACCACCATGGAAATCCTGGAAGTACTGGACGGCCGTTTCATTCTATTGTGAGACTCCTCAGTAGTGCGCATCCACGATCCCGCCTCGCGAGATTCAAACCCTGGACCTATCAGTCGCGCACGCGAACGCCTAACCACTAGACCATTGAGCTGGTTGGCATCCAACGGTGTTAATATCTAACTTCAACTAGTTCACAAAATTGCGCCACCGCCCACCCTTCACTTCAGTGTGTTACTATTTCACAACAGATCTGGTCGAGCTTCACTGGTCACTGCTTCTAACTAGAACTCTAGGAAATACCTCTTGGAGACTGTCACTAGTGAGCATTCTATGTACAACTTGTCTAACTGATAAGCAGTCATAATTGATTAAAAAAAACACTATAAAAACATTATTAAGGTTCCTGAGCTGTAATTAAACTTTTTATGAATAGTTAAATAAATAACAAACAACAAAAAAAGCAATAGTATATCCATTTGATCTATAATAGTGAATGAATTCAGTTTGATCCTATTGGTTATTAACAAAATGGTTAAAAAAAATCTTACAAAAGTTGGTTAAAATATTTCTTGATATGACGATTAAGTAATATAACATACTTAATATGTATTTTTTTTATACTGATTTCTAGTTAAACCAAAAAAACAAACTACACAACAAAAACAAAACAAGATAAAGTGTGGTGATGGTTTCAAACTCACGCTTCTTAAAGAAATAAACAAAAAAAAAAGAAAAAAAGCAAAGGAATGAAATTGACTGATATTAATTACCATCAGAAAAATATATTTCTGATTAATAACATCCTGTATATATCTTCAGAAAAATAACTGATTACTTATATTTTGAATAGTAAACCTATATGATGTATATATATATATATAATATTTCTTTCTTTCTTTTTCGTCTTTTTTATGCTTTCTACATAAAAAAGGTTATAATCTGGTTTCGTTATTTTCCACCTATTTCTGTTATATATCTATATATACAAATGTTTTTCTTTCATCATGTAGTTTGACATTTGAATATGGTAAAGAACATTTAAACTTTTGTCATTTACACTTGAATATTTTGTTTAAACTAAACTAAATATTTTAAATTAAATAACATTTAAACAAAAATAAATTAAAGTGTACACACACATATATATCTTTATATATATATGAATATATATAGGTAAGAATTATGTTACAAGCTATTGTCAATTATTTTCTCTAAAGAATATACTTTTATACTTTTCTTTATAAAACAGTGAACTAAAATAAAGACATTTCTACATGAATGTGTAAAGTTTATGCTGAAATGTTTCTATACAATATGAAAGTTATACTTTTTACAAACAAAAACACATAGACGTCTTGTTAGGGATAAGAATAATGATGATTATAATAAGAGTAAGAAACAGTGATTATTCAGTAAATATTTTAAATAATGCTTCGATAATAAATGAAACGAAACAAAGTTTTAATATCAGAATGGGTTTTGTGGAGATTTTAGAAATTTCACAGATTGAAATCATGAGTCAGTTGAAGCTAGACCACCATTAAAAACCTGGAAGCACTGGACGGCCGTTTCGTCCTAGTATGGGACTCCCCAGCAGTGTGCCAGCACTTAACCACTAGACCACTGAGCCGGCATCCAACGGTGTTAATGTCTAACTTCAACCAATCCACGAAGTTGCGCCACCGTACACCATTGTCTTCAGTGAGTTCCTATCTCACAACAGACCTGGTGGTGGTCTAGCTTCAACTGACTCATGATTTCAATCTGTGAAATTTCTAAAATCTCCACAAAACCCATTCTGATAATAACAATCACCTGCTCACTAGTGACTGACTTCAGGAAAAACTCCCGAAGTTCTAGTGAGAAGCCGTTACCAGTGGAGTTCAACCAGGTCTGTTGTGAGATAGGAACTCACTGAAGACAATGGTGTACGGTGGCGCAACTTCGTGGATTGGTTGAAGTTAGACATTAACACCGTTGGATGCCGGCTCAGTGGTCTAGTGATCAAGTGCTCGCGCGCGAAGCCAGTAGGCCCTGGGTTCGAGCCCCGCGTGGTGCGGGATCGTGGATGCACACTGCTGAGGAGTCTCATACTAGGACGAAACGGCCGTCCAGTGCTTCCAGGTTTCCAATGGTGGTCTAGCTTCAACTGACTCATGATTTCAAAGTCTGAAAGTTTTAATAGTTAAATTCATGAATTAGAAATGTGGAAGTATTGGACGACTGGTTTGTTCTAATATGTGATATCTCATCAATGTGCATCCATGATTTCGCACATAACGAGACAATTTCTTATTCTTTCTCCCCCCTGAGTTATTTTAATTGTACTTTTATTTGTTTGTTTAACCTTTATTGACCTTTATTAATTTTCATATAAAAATACCCTGACAAGTATATGTGTGACCAGATTGTTCGAAATGTATAGCACAAATACATCACATTTTTCAGATCAAATCCGTCTTCTCATTGTTCTGTCGAAATTTATAAAAGGGACTAATTGCTTTAAACTCAGAAAGCTTAACATGTAGACCATTGAATTGGTTGACATCCAACGGTGTTATTGTTTAGGGTTAATTGATCTATAATCTTATGCAACCATTCATTCATTGTGTGAGATGGATAATTGTTTCACACTCGACACGGAATACACTCTACTGGTTACAGCTTCTCATAAAAACTATGAGAAATCTATCTGGAAGCTAGTCACAGAGTTCTATTTGAAATTGATCAGCAAAAGTAATCAGTGATAAATGTTCATTTATATAAGTTTACATTTATTACAAAAATTTAATTAATGTGATCATATACTAGTAAACTTAATTTTTTAAAAATAAAATTACCAAACTATCTACATTGTGATATGATGGAAAGAAAAGTCAATTTTCGGTTGATTTACTCATTATGAGTTTTGTTTAAGATTACTTCCGTTTTGATTCGATGTAGTGATTACTCAATGTAGTATTTGTTTCCTTTTCTCGTATGATATTTTCTTCTGTATAATATACGATATTCTAGTATTCCATTGACATGAACTATGCTCAGTTTGTGATTTGTTATATATGTGATTTCATTCTAATTATTAATCAAAATGGGTGTACAGTCAATATATAAATGAGTGCATTTTCTACTAGGGTTGTCGTCGTGTTTTGGGGTTAATAAATCACCACTTATACCAGTCCCTGTGTTCTTACTTTCGCATCGTAGGGATCGCAGAGGTCTCTCGTTCCGAGTAAAAGTGATAAGCGTTTCCGACATAACAATCAGCGACAACCAGATACAAAATGTAACATTAAAAGAGCCAACACAATAAACATTCAAACGACATGTTATAACACATTGATAACAAATAATGAAGTGAACAGTCATTTAACAAAATGATATATCGCATTATTTAAAAGTAATACTTGTATATTTCTATTAGACATGATTATCGATAGTGATAAAATTATTTTGATTAAAAGTAGAACTGAACAGATGTTCAAGATTATTTGATTGTTGTTTTTTGTTTTGCTTTGCAAAAAATCTTATCTTTATTATATCGGGACGAAGAATAAGTGAATAGTAACCGCTGGGATCTATTTATGGATTAATATTATATATATATATATATATATATATATATATATATATATACTGTATAATTATTATTTTCTATTTTATGGTATAGTGTGATCTGGTTTGTTTGTATATAAGCCCAGCATGTCTGAAATACATGATTCATTTAGCGGAGGCTGATATTAGTGTTCTGAACTAAATCGGTTAAGTTAGGCCAGAAGCTACTATCTTGGTGTACCAATAAGAACTCAGAGTTGACTCTGGACTGCTCATACTGGTTTACGAGTCATTCGTCTGATCAATAAGTTAGTGTTCTAAATGGTGATCATATCACGTGATAGTTAACAGATCATAAAGACATAACTATTTTGGAATAGTCAGTAATTTGAATGCTATTACAAATAATTGGTAATAATGAATTATAATGTCAATTTCATTATGTATAATCTCAGACTAGCATATAAGTCAAATAATTCTCGGTGATTTCGTAAAAAAAAATAATTTTACAAAAATGAAATACGTGAAAGTTGCATTAACTTATATATTATGCAAGAAAATAATGATCATTATCGAAAGACTGAATCCACCGTGTGTTGATTAGTATATATATATATAAACCCTAGTCATAGTTAAGTGAACAGACTAAAACGTACATGGCCATGACTTCATAGTTTTCCGGAACTCTGGAGATAAATAAATCAAAACTTGAAATAGATTCATATCATTGAAACCTTTATTTTATTATTAACAAATTATCTCTTTCATTGGTTTAATACCTAAATATATTAGGCTGTTATTTATATCTTTCATTGACAGTTCTGTTAGTTTTATTGATTTTTAAATTTGACAATAATAACAGAATAAATGAATTTATTCTCTTACCTGAAATGAGATCTGACATTTGACTAACTGGTCGACCAGAACCAATTACTGTTAGAGGAGATTGAATAGTATTTGCTGTAGGTAGATTAGGTACAATAGATGTATTATTAACACCACATCCAACATTACATGAACCAGATACTCCAGTTCCTCCAGATAAAATACCAGATGGTATCCCAAACTGATTTGTATAAGTTCTATTTAAAGTAGTTGGACTAACAGAGTTCACTTCGTTTGATAATAACGAGGCTGATGTTAACATTGGTGTAGTATATCCTGATTCATGTGAATTCTTGTTTCAGTAAAATAATGAATAATGAAAGGCAAATGAATGTAATTTTTAGTCACTTTCAATCTCAATTTTATCAAGAAATTGAAAGAAAGGTCTATAAAACTTTAGTGACCCAATCATTGATTAAGATAAAGTGGTAGATTCAGAAATCTTCCATATCACTGAATGCAAAGGGCATCGAAATACAATAATCAAATTACATCAATGTTTATTCTACTTAACTAATTTCAAAACTCACTTCACTCTAAACGCAAGTTCATAATTCAAACAAACATCATATAAAACAAAAGTATCTTTTTAAATTGAATAAACATTAAAGGTCTTATAAAGCCAGATTTTAAATACCTTCGATAATGTTATAAAGAAATGTTTACAATAGAATTTAGCTAACTACATAAATGATTTACAATAAATCTCAACTTCTTAAACATTGAATATATAAAATGTATTTTTGGAATTCACCTAAATAACAGAGTTTTAAGATGTTCTTCATTCATATACTCTTATACAACATTTAACAGTCTAAACATTGATTCATAGAACACATTAGGTTAGGACATTATATATATATACGCAACACTGAATACCTAACTTTTCATTATGACCATAGTCAAATGCAAAATATATTTAAGATTATCCTATTATATTTCATATTTACAAGATAAACGATTTGTTCTAAGAAAGAATGTATGTTTTTGAATTTAACGAAGAGATTTAAACAATCTCTGTTAAACTTCAAAGAAAACTATATCTAAAATAATGTGTAGGCTTTATATCTTCTTCTATCATATTCATTCTTAAGAATAGTCAAACAATGTAATGTGAATAAAATGTATAACAAACTTCAATTCTTTTTCTTTCTCTTTTTATAAATTAGTTTACATTCAAGTGTAAAGTGCACCATTTTTCTTTTTAGTACACTTAACGACTAGAATATTCCAGTCAAATGTAGTATGATTTATATTTAGTCGCATGTTAAATTTCTTTTATTGAATACAATACTGAACAATTGAAGAAGAAAAAGAAAGAAGCGAAATAAAAAAGTATAATATTCAGCTCCTGATTGATGTTTCCTTCTTTATTTGGTTAAATAATATCGAGAGAAATATCATTGATCAATTGAATACAGTAGTAAATGATGTCTAGGGTTAGCTTGTGGTGTGTGCTACTTATATTGATATAAGTAGTATATGGCACGAGTTAAAACGTAATATCTGGCAGCAGAAGATGAGGTGAAGATCAAGAAAGGAAGAGCGAGAGCACAATGGAATATTTAAGAAAACGCATGTACAATGGAATGGGAGACAATGGATTTGTGTTTGCAACGGAAACATTCCAGTTTGATATGATGCATTAATATTTTGCAAATTGACGATTGACTTTATAGTATTCAGATTTTATTAAGATAGTTTATAATTTCGTGATAGATTCATTCGATTGTCTCCACCGTGTTCTTGTTCACTACAAGCTTACGATATATTGAAAGCTTCTGAACTTTCAGGCTGTCTATAATTATTCTTCTTCAGAATTTTGTATTCTATTGTTCAAAATATAAAATGATTATTTATGAATATGAAACCGTGTTTTATAATTAAATTTAATGATCCGATCAAGTGTTGTCTTTTAAGACTAAATTTCTGTACTCTCTCATTTCATTATTTTATAATTTTTGGTCTAATGATGATTTCTGTATAGTTTTCTTAAAGTTTTCGCAGTGTGAAGAAAAAAGAAAGGGAGCCAAATAATGATGATGATGATGATGATGAAAGTTCTTATAATATGTACAAGGTAAAGACATATATATATATATATATATATATATATATATATATATATATATATATATATATATATATATATATATATATATATATATATATATATATATATAAAGAATAAACTGTAACAGATTTCACAGTCCATGTATTACATTTTCGTTCTGTTTTTCATTTCTGTTTTCTTAGTAAAAGGTTTACCAGTGTAACAAACGTATAATTTTACCACCGTTTCTCAAAACATTAATTCAGAGCTAAAATAAAATTACTAACTGGATATTGGTTTAAATGAAGTCATCATAAAATGAACCATCTAAGTTATAAATTAACAACACCATACTTTCAAGGCTTCTGAAACTGAATACTTTACATCAGATGATTGTTGTTTTAGAATTAAAACCCTCAGCGACTTAGCTCATGACCGATCACAATTTATATATATATATATATATATATATATATATATATATATATATATATATTTCCAATGGATCTTTCTCTGACACCCTTTTTCGAGAGTTGAACATACTCACTCGACCTAATACACAGCTACTCTAGGTCTTATTTAACTAATGTATGCCTGTCATGACATATATACTTTATAAAGATTTTACTATACCAAATTAATAACTATATATTTTTGACTTGAAGTTAGAATGTATACTGAAAAGATAATGTAGGAAAGCTAGACGTTCTTCTGGTTTAATCGGGATCATTATGTGGAATAGGTTATTTTAGGCTGCTTTAATGGTAATTCTTCTCCTGATTTTTGAATATTTTGATGCCATTTACACTTATAAAAACAAAAATCAACTTTAGAAGTTGATGATGATGAGTAATTTGGTGGCCTCACTTATGAAGCTACAAACGTTAACAATAACTAATCATATTCAAATGAAATGATATATTGTTCTAAATACTTCAAATAGACATGATGAGCAAAGGCGTTAATTTACTTTGAATATTCATTTACAAAACGAATTCCATGTTAACTAACCTCGCACACTGAAAGTGGAAGTCCAGACAAGTTTGAATGCAGTAAACCAGATGAAAATGTAGTGGCAGGACATATTAATCCTGGATTACCAATCACGGGTTTTGGTCGATAAAAAATGACCGGACCTTTATTTGGGCACTGTGAATTGAAAGCGATAACAATTGTTAGTAATATTTTGTTCTTAATAAATGACGTAGAAAACTGCTGTGAAACAAACGACAGACTGAAAAGTTATTATATTGAAAAATCTTATATTCTTAATCGAGTATTCAAACTGTGTTTCTATTCCATATCAAGACGTTTTGATATAACAAATCTTATTGTAACTTTTAAAAAAAAATACTACAGACTATATCTTGACACCTTTTACAGTAGCTAAAACTAAACACATTTACTGTCTTTTATTTTCATATTGAACTTAGAGGTTACGAGAAACAATTAATGCTTCTGTGATTAAAGGAATACAAAACTAGGCTAAGCTACCTCGTCTCTTAAGTCAGTAATTTAAATTAACATGACACCTACAGATATCTTTCCTCTTTATTATAGTATCACTATAGAAAACCTGGAATCACTGGACGGCCATCTCATCATAGTATGTGACCCCTAAGCAGTGCGCATCCACGATCCTGTACGCGTGATCTGGACTCAGGACCTTCGGTATCACGCGCAAACGCCTAACCTCTAGATCACTGAGCTGGTCGGCATCCAACGGTTTTAATGTCTAACTTCCATCGATCCATGAATATATGAGTAACCATTCATCCATTGTCTGAGGTAGATAACTTTCAATAATTCAACTATTAAAATTACTACAGTCTACACAAACCTCATTCTGATAAAGAAACTAAATAATAGTTCAATAAGATCTTATAACTTTCCACTATGAAATTATAAATTGTATCTTGGATCATTACCCAAAGTCCATTACGTATTAATTATTTCTTTAGAAATCGATATCTTAATTTCTAACTTCACCATAATGTTAAACAGGAAACTTCAAATTGGTTAGAGAAAAATATTTTAGTCAATGTAAAAGTGAACGAACGAAGTGGATTTTAAAAAATCACATACCTCTAAAAATATATCACACAATAATCGAATACACTTGGAAATTGCATCCGCTGTACCTGATATTGTAACTGTTCTTTCTGTGGATGTCGGCAAAGCTTCACTAGCAACTTGAATTGATGCACCAGTTAACTAAATGATTAATGAAAACATGAAACAGCGTCAATTCATTTCTGTATTGTTTGTTTGAATCTTTACATTGATGGTTAGGACTGCAATTGATCAGTCTCGTATTGTCATATGTGCATTCTATTCGGATAGCCTCGATATTGCCTTAAGTCACAAGCATTATAAACAAAGATAGATAGTGGCTAGCAGTGGAATCCAGGACGCCTGTTTCGTTCTACTTGAGACTAGTCAGCTGGATGTACCTACATCCAATAGTTGATGTTGGTACATCCAGCTGACGGGTCCCAAATAGGACGAAACAAGCTTCCTGGATTTCACTGATGATCATCATCCATCTTTGCTTAAAAAGCTTGTGACTTAAGTCATTATCGAGACAACCGTCACCCAATGCACATGTGCCAATAGGAATTTGATCAATTACAGTCGTAAACAACAATAAGGCGATACAAGCACACAATGCAAAGAGAATTTAAGATTAAATCACTTTAAATTTTAAGTATAAGTTAACAACAACAACAACAACAACTGACATATAAGATTTTCAATTTTATGACTTATTGACATATGCTTTCAATAATTTCAGTAATAAAAAAGTAGTATATTCTTGGTTTAACAACCTATAATTTATTGTTGTTTGTTATGTTCTTTCAACAAAATACATTTTCCCTGTAAGACTATTTCATTTTAAAAGTTGCCTCTGTTCATTTTAAATCGTTTTTCATAAATGAATAACATTTGATAATTTGCATAATTTTATTCTATAATGAAAATACATTCATACTATGTAAATCATTCACATCTCTATTACCAATTAAATGAAACGGAACATCATGCAAATCAGCTAATAATAATAATAATGATAATTAGGAACAGGAAGTGCGAATAGAGTATTCCTGAAAATGTTAAATTTTTGTTTTAAAAAAAAAGAAGAAAAGATTCATTGAACCAAGCATTAAGTTGAAAGATTTCCTATTTGTATGTTTAGTGAAATAGTTGAATGTAGTTTAATTCGTATACTTGAGATTACTTTACTATGGTTGTTCATTGAATAGTTGAATAATTATGATTAATATTACATGTTAACTAAATGAGATGATAATCTATGTGACCTAAATTTATAGTATACTATTTCCTGAGTTTGTTATTTGTTTCTATGACACAGTACAACATTTTATCCATTAATAGGATACTGTAGTAATAAATCAAGTCAACTGTAAATATAGTTGAAAATTATGTATTTTTCATTGAAGAAAATCTTGTCACAAATATTGTATGTTTCTTGTGAATAATTAGACAAAATACAAAATTAAGAAAGAATTATCTTTTAAATAGAATTATCTTACTGACTAATGTCAATATTGACTGAAAATGAGGTTTACAATGTACAATGCATATATATTTGAACATGAAACAAGATTTGATAATTATAGGTGAACACATGATATTCAACATGTTATCTAATAGTTTCTAAGCATGTTAACAAACTAAACGATTATTTTCTCTACATGTATTCAAACATCAGTTATGAACATAAATATTTGCACAGTCAACAAAAAGTTCAACCACAAGATTAGATGAAGTAAAAATTGGATACTGATTTGATTCCAATAAAACTGATGTTTTTTTTTAAAGTTTTTATCAAATATAAATACTCACAACCAAGGTCCTCTCTAATTAAACGAGTAATAACCAATCTAGTTAAACCAATTAAAGCATAGGTGGTTGTATCATACTAATTTTTATGTAAGATCTATAATACTAAAAAACCGTGTTCAATATCTCAATTGTAGGTCGAAAACACGCCATACATGTTATTACATCTATAAATTTGGGTGTAACTGCCAAAAATAGCTACATTGGTCAAACAGGAAAGGAGGCATTTTGTAGATTTTTTGTACATGTTACAAAACGTTTTCAAATAAATGAGAGAACTACTTAAACAGTGCAGTTACTAAACATATCTTGGATACAGGACATCAGGTTGATACCTTATAATCTTTCAAGATAATTACTAAACAGTCAAGCTTCAATCTTCTGAAGTTTATTGGAGCCTGTTCTATCAGGTGTCAGAAAACTGATTTATGTGTTTGAAAGAAGGTGGTTGTTAGTTTGTCTTTGCCTTGATGACAAATATTCCTTCATTACATCATAAAATTTAGTTCAACTGTTTCCTCAAATCAGTTACATGGTTAAGTCTTTTTATTTAAACTGCTTTCTAGTTCAGTAATCTTATTTTGATTAACTGAGCTTAACTCATTTTATTCTAACTTATTATCGGCGTTTACTCTGTACGTAATGAATTGTTTCCAGCTCTTTGGACTTTGTTACTATCAGTGTTGTAGAATATTATTTTACATAAGGTATTTATTTATCTCAATCTATTAGATTTATTTGTACCCTTTTCTGTACTTACTAGTGTGTCTTCAAAGCAACATTCAACTAAACTGCTCGATGTAAGTAATTTAACTCTATTTTGTAATTAGGACTTTTAAGTATCGTAGTTGTAAGCAGGTGATGGGAAGGAAATGAAATAAAATGAATTTTGAAATATTCCCATATTGTAAATTTAGAACAACATATATAAGCGAACAATATTGTTTTCGATTAGATCCTCGTCAGGCTTTACTCTAATATACAGTAATATTTATATGCATATACGAAATTAATAAACCAATCATGGTCGTTTACAAGTCAATGATAACAATGGAAAAGATTACATAATAAGTAAAATGTGAAAAGTACAAATTGATGGTGTGACAACAGGTGCATTAGTTTTTGATAAGCAATAATAATAAAGGTTCAAATCAATGTTACATAATCTGAAATAGGTCAATGATTAGAAAAGTATAGAAACTGAGATAACAATTATAAAATTATCAGAATGGGTTTTGTGGAGTTTTAGAAATTTCACAGGTTGAAATCATGAGTCAGTTGAAGCTAGACCACCATTGAAAACCCGGAAGCACTGGACGGCCGTTTCGTCCTGATATGGGACTCCTCAGCAGTGAGCATCCACGATCCCGCACCACGCGGGGCTCGAACTCAGGACCTACTGGCTTCGCGCGCGAGCACTTGACCACTAGACCACTGTGTTAGACATTAACACCGTTGGATGCCGACTCAGTGGTCTAGTGATCAAGTGCTCGCGCGCGAAGCCAGTAGGTCCTGGGTTCGAGCCCTGCGCGGTGCGGGATCGTGGATGCGCACTGCTGAGGAGTCCCATATCAGGACGAAACGGCCGTCCAGTGCTTCCAGGTTTTCAACGGTGGTCTAGCTTCAATTGACTCATGATTTCAACCTGTGAAATTATAAAATTATAAAATGAATTCACGCCGTTTTCGATCTCTTCATAATACTTATAAATAATACTAACATTTTATTTAACTCGCTCATTCAACAATACTCCATGTTACATGTATTTCAAAAACACCTGATTGTTATGTTATTAAGCAAATATCGATTTGTCTTTAGGTTCAGTTCAGTTGACATAACGACACTGTCAAATAAGGACAGAATATGGACTGATTTCTAACCAGAAAAGTATTGAAAACCAAGAGATAAGACTGACTATTATTTTATATGACTTCACAAATAGATAAATTTTAGTTATCAGTGCAAATTTCGATATTTAGACCCAAATGACAGGTGAAAGAGTGTAAATTATAAATTTCAGTTCTCAATGGTCTCATAAGGTATAAGAAATTTTGGCATTATGATATATCGTCAATGATGCATGTCATTTTATTGTCTGAAGAAGAATAGATTTTCAATACAAATATCAAGATAGTTCTACTGTATGGGGTGGAAACCCGGAGAACTAAGAAAGCCATCATCCAGAAGATACAGGTGTTTATTAACAGTTGTCTACGCAAAATACTTCAGATCCATTGGCCGGACACTATTAGCAACAACCTACCACGGAGAGAACAAACCAGATCCCAGCGGAGTAAGAAATCAGGAAGAAGAGCTGGAAGTGGATAGGACACACATTGAAGGAAGCACCCAACTGCATCACAAGACAAGCCCTCACTTAGAGTCCTCAACTCCAAGGGAGAAGAGGAAGACCAAAGAACACATTATGCCGGGAAATGGAAATAGACATGAGAAAAATGAACAAGAATTGGATGGAACTAGAAAAGAAGGCCGAGGACAGAGTTGGTTGGAGAATGCTGGTCGGCGGCCTATCCTCCATTAGGAGTAACAGACGTAAGTAAGTAAGTAAGTGTTATACTTGTTATAATAATGTAGTGTATTTGCCGATTATATCTTTACGTGTTTGATTTTGGGTCATACACAGCGTCATGGCTATCCGGACGATCCATGATGTCCAAACACAAAGAAAAATAATAAAAATTGCAATACAAAGTAATAACTATTATCACTATTGATCCATAAAATGGAACTCACTAAAACCTAATCAAATGAGCTGAGAATATCAAGGAATAGACAATATATCACAAAATGCAATTCACTATCTTACCTCACGAACATCTTTAATCTTGGATCCTCCTTTACCGATTATTGAACCACATTGAGCTACTGGAACTAATAAACGTATGGTCACTGGAGGACAATTGACTGTTTCATCACCCATTCGTAATAAACCTTGTGTAAAATCCTAAAGTTTTCACAAAAATATGTATTTAAATATTTTATTAAGAATTCTAAAGAGGGAATTGTTTTTATTGTTATTCCTTCAAATGATGTTCATCAAAATATAGAAACAAAACTATGAGAGACCATCATAGATCATCAAACATTATATAGTACTAATCCAGACAGGCATATTATAATAGGTAATGATAATTAAAGTGGGACATTTACATTTGCAGGATGATGAAATGATTTTAAATGATCCCATTTCTGTTACACTTGCTTTTAATAGCAATAAATTCTATCTAATAAATGCTCAATTCATTGTGCTACATAACTTCGTACAAGATCGTTTATTTTTATTTTTTGTGAAGCAAATAAACATGAAATTATTAGCGTCCGTTTTCACTTCTTGCGCATTTCTATCATTGAAATTTACTAAAATATTTAGCTGAAGTTTTTAAGAATACTGATTAACCACTTATCAACTTTTACTCACAGATAGTGCTACCAGAACATATTACAAAATATCATTCTATATATGAATGTGGCCTGCTTGAATATCTGGACTATCTGTTCCTGACATCTAGATATTTCAACAAGTTATCTGATTTTCTTATTTGTTTTAACACATCATTATGAATAGTAGTTAAAAAACTTATTTAGATCCGTTTGCGAAAAATTTACGATATTTCTCTGTACAAGTTAAGAATGAGCACAATCAGAGACATCGTGGTTGCTGGCAATATACGTCGAAAACAATATACATTAATCAGATGTTGATTACTAAACTGCTAGCTCACTCACTCGATATTTATCGTCAGGATCAATCAAGAAATAAGAAGAGGAATCTTGTTGTATTACTTTGTGCTGAGAATTTTATGTTGTACTAAAGCCGCTAATAACAATACTAATAATAATAAAAGTAACTGATCTAGTAGAGATCCTCATTATATTGTATTCGTAACAGGATACAGATGAGAGAGAATGTGTTACACTTCAAAATAATGAACATCTATGTAAACAAACTTGAATCAATCATTTTAGATGTTAGATTTTATACTCATTTACTCAAGTGTAAGTATCATATGACGTTTTATTGATATGGAATATGTAAGAATATCATTATTCGACGAATTAAAAACACCTTTGAGATTGGATAATAAGAGATACATATATGATAGATATATGCTTATAATCATATCCATGGTGAATTTCTTCCTTATCATTTTGTCTTGACTATAGTGTTAAGATAATTTCTATTTGTTTCAGTTAAATGATTTGAATCAGTGAAAAACAATATGATATTTGTGCGCTATTACATGTTTACTGATTCATTTGATGAGATATATGACGATATTGTTAATATTATGTAAATAAATTATTCTTGGTCAATATTTATGTACGGAATCAGGTAAACAATCTAAGACAAATCATAATAAACTAATAAAAGAGTAACGAGGATTTTTTAAATTTGCTTTTAAACGAGAGCAGATAAAGGTAATACTACAGTTATTATGATAAACAGAGTATGAGAACAAAGCCAAAGAACATCTACAAGAGGGTCCATATGAACAAATCAAAGAAGCGAAAAGTAGAACAACTCTTAATAAACTCAAGGCGCAAACTAGCAAACTCTTACAGTCATTAAAAGCTAAGCTAGGATCGTCCTTATGGTTTATGTTATATCCAAAGAGTTGCAATCCATGCAGATTTTATGGGCTACCAAAGATCCACAAGAATAATACTCCACTAAGACCAGTGGTAGACTATACAAATTCACCGACTTACAATCTAGCTAAATACTTAGCTAAGATTCTCAAACCATATGAAAAACGAATTAATCATGGAATTAAAAACTCTATGGAATTCAAGAATTTAATTGATACCATCGATATAGAAAAGGACGAAATAATGGCAAGTTTTGATGTATCTTCCTTATTCACTAATGTACCTATCAGTCGAGCTATGGATATTATCAATGATTATTTAGAATCTGATTTAGATTTGAATTTACGATGCCCATTAGATCCATCAGAGGTTATAAAATGCTTGGAATTATGTTTAAGATCTACCTTATTCATATTTCGAGGTCAACTTTACAGACAGAAAGAGGGTATAGCAATGGGCTCACCAGTTTCTCCGATTGTAGCGAATTTATTCATGCATTCCCTAGAAACTAGTGCAATCGCAAAGAGTTTATGTCCACCAAAGTTATGGTTAAGGTATGTAGACGACATTTTTATTATCAATAAACGGAATGGTATGGAAGAACTATTTAACAATGCAAACAGCATTTCTGAAAACATTAAACTAACTAAGGAATTAGAATCAGTTGACCACAAACTAGCATTTCTAGATTGTCTGGTTGAACGTCGACACAATAATAAGAAGTTAAAAATAAATGTCTACAGAAAATCAACGCATTCCGAGAGATACTTGGATTTTAATTCAGCCCATTCACAGAGCACGAAAATTAATGTGGTAAAAAATCTAATGAACAGAAGTACTAAGATTGTTACAGACAAGGAAGACCAACGAACCGAATTAAATAAAGTGTTTTCTACTCTTAGGGATAACAACTACCCAAAAAGGTTTTTAAAAAAGATTATTAAAAATGAAAGAAAAACTAAACTAGAAAGTATACGAAAAGAATGGAAGTACACCGTAGTCATACCTTACCGGAGTGAAACATCAGAAGAAATCAAACGGATTCTAAACAAACATGATATAAGAGTGTATTTTAGAGCAAATAACACATTAAGATCGACATTAGTGAAAGTTAAGGATAAATTAGCAAAGGAAGAACAACAGAACATTGTGTATGAGATTCACTGTCATGACTGTAATGCTACCTATGTTGGAGAAACATCCAGGCAATTAAATGTAAGATTGAAGGAACACAAACAATGCTTGAAAAATGTTCCAAAATCCTCGGTAGATTTAAAGAAACTTGAAAATAAGTCAGCGATAGCGTTACATGCGTTAGAAACAGGACACAAGATTAATTTTGAAGGGACCAAAATACTTCAGAAAGGTTTTAACACCCATAAAGAAAGATTGACAGCAGAAGCTCTGCATATATGGGCGAACAAGAACAGCCTGAACCGAAAAGATGGTATTCAAATGGCAACTACCTGGCAAATTTCGTTTGACAAGTAAATTTGGAACCTATCTCTTGTTTAAACCTGTTTTTAATATCACATGCATCGTTATTATTATTAAAAGAACTGAATGAGTTTCTAAACAATACAATTTATGTTTTGACATGCACATCGATCTTTCATTATCAAGTTTTTCATCCTTGAACTTGAACTTTATTTATTCCTTCATATCAATCTCTCACACATACATACATACATACACACTCACACACATACGATTTGTTACTCAGTTAAGTATTTCCATGTAGTTGAATTCATCACATGATTTGTAGTCAACTGACTCATTTTATCCTATTTTACAAAAAATCAACACCCAAATATGATTGGTTTAACACAGTATAATCCTGATTGTTAAAAGCTATATATTTCTTTGATAATTTTGATTTTGATTATTACCCTGAAGAAGTCCAGACAAGTTAGCTGGACGAAACGTTGGAATTAGTTATATTTCAATCGCTGAGAATATTTCAAATATAATTTTCACATATAATGACTTCTCTATACTCGGCGCTCAATTACTGTCAAACTATTCGTTCTAATCTAGACGAATATTCGTATAAATTATTTTCCAATCGAATTAAATTATCAAAGAAAATACATAACTGGTACAATCACAGAATTTTTAATATACGATGCTTAAAACAAAATGTTTATCCAAAATCTCTGATGGTCAAATCTCCAGACAATTCTATTCGGTCAATCAAAGCGGCGATATCAGCCACTAGAACATTTATAAGAGAACGTATACACAAGGCCACTATGAATTTGGAGGCACTACGTTCAAGGGTTTGTAATATCGATGACATATTGTCAGTTATCGCACCGAACGAAATAAGATCATATATAATTGAATTTTTCAAACATAGAGAACAATTTTATTATCAATCATCAAAACAACGACAAATTAGGAAGTTTGAAAAACTATTGAAACATTCATCAAACACCAAAGTTCAACAGACGGAAAATAGATCTAACACAAATGATATGAATAAAATAATTGTTAATTTATCGGATAGACCTCTCAACCCACATGAAATATCATTACTCAAAAAGGGTCTCAACTTCAATATAAATAGACATAAATTAACACCTTTCAATGTTATACCAACAGTAGAACCAGCGCTGAATATACTCCCGAATGATACAGCGAATGAACTGAGGAATAAAATAATGAACACATTATTACATCAGAAACCTCACAACCCTAACATAAATAAAAATGAATATTACGCATTAAAACAGCTGAGAGAGGACAAAACGATCATAATAACGAGAGCAGATAAAGGTAATACTACAGTTATTATGAATAAAACAGAGTATGAGAACAAAGCCAAAGAACATCTACAAGAGGGTCCATATGAACAAATCAAAGAAGCGAAAAGTAGAACAACTCTTAATAAACTCAAGGCGCAAACTAGCAAACTCTTACAGTCATTAAAAGCTAAGCTAGGATCGTCCTTATGGTTTATGTTATATCCAAAGAGTTGCAATCCATGCAGATTTTATGGGCTACCAAAGATCCACAAGAATAATACTCCACTAAGACCAGTGGTAGACTATACAAATTCACCGACTTACAATCTAGCTAAATACTTAGCTAAGATTCTCAAACCATATGAAAAACGAATTAATCATGGAATTAAAAACTCTATGGAATTCAAGAATTTAATTGATACCATCGATATAGAAGAGGACGAAATAATGGCAAGTTTTGATGTATCTTCCTTATTCACTAATGTACCTATCAGTCGAGCTATGGATATTATCAATGATTATTTAGAATCTGATTTAGATTTGAATTTACGATGCCCATTAGATCCATCAGAGGTTATAAAATGCTTGGAATTATGTTTAAGATCTA